TTATTTTATACTACACTAAAGGTCCTCTAAGACATTTTTTGCCTAATGGAATGGCATAATTCTGCAAGTGAGGAAAACATGTAAGACAAGTCAAGTGATGAACTACATGCAGATCTGAAGAAGATTGCCATCATTTTATTATCTGCCCCAGGAAATCCTAACAGAAATGAGGATTTTCATCAATAAAGCAGAACTTAAGGAGAGCTAAGTCTGAGTATTTAGTCACCATACAGTATACTAATGTGCATGATTATAAAAGATACATGCAAACAGCTCATTCATTAAAAGATTCTGCCAATTAGCTCATACCAGGAAATCTGGGGATCATCAAACACCAAACCTCACTCAAATGATAAGGATGCCAACATCTCTGCCCATAACTGTGCAAACATCCTATACAGCTTCATTACCATCAACTATTAGTCAGGAAAAGGAAAAAGAGTGTAAATAAGGACATAGCTCCACACACAATCAGTCTCAAAGCTACAGATTTCTATTTGTCGCACAGAACTCCACTGTCCTAGACATGTAAGGATGAAATGCAGCAAGAGATCCAAGCAGCTGCTCAGTGGTGAGCTGAAGTGAGATACTGGAAGCAGAGTGACACAGATGACAAGGGCATACAGGAGCCCAGCTTCAACAGGTGTTGCACAACTTGGGCATGCTGGGAAAGAGCAGCAGAAGGATCAAATGGACGTGCACTCATCAGGAAGTGGTAGCTGACTCTGAGCAATGGTGCTGGACAGGTTATGAGGTGGAGAGGCATTGTGGCATACAGCGACAGGCCCTGCAAACAGTGGCTATAGCCACAAACCAAAGGACAGTCTTCAAATGTTTACAGTGTGGAAAGAACCATTGCTAAATATCATTGACTTTGGGTATACCCACACCCCTAAGGAGGAGCACTGTTAGAATTGCCATTCTCTAATGAAATATAAATGATGAAAGCCTTTCAGTGACATTGAAATTGATTCAAGGTAATGTTTTACTACAAGTGCATTCAAAATAGAAATGGCTGTTTCAACTGTTTTGACCTAAAAATGTATACTTTGAACTGGACACAGTGATGTATGCCTGTAATATCAGCTACTCAGGAGCCTGATACAAAAGGATTGCAAGAGTTGAGGCTAGCCTGGGCAATTTATCAAGACCCTGTCTCAAAATAAAAAAATGTTAATTCTAGTCAGAAAACTATTATTTTCTTTTTTGGGGGGGAGGGACATATAATGATCTGTTCTTACCATAGTGCTGCTGTGGCAGTAACTATGCTTTAAAAGTCACATTTGTTTTCAAACTGTCAGTATCTCTCCATGACACTGAGTTAGTGGCTGAGTTTACAGACAGCATCAGAAATAATATTTGGTTTTTGAATACAGGACAAAATTAGACAGTTGTATAAAAGGTCAACATTAGGAAGTCAACACATTCCCTTTGGAGAAAGAAAACAAGGAACTCTAGGAGCTTTTGAAAAATAGGAGTTGTAAAAAAGAGGCAAATTTCTTACGATGGCTGTGAGCTTAGGAAGAAAAGTGTGATTATGACTCAATGTTGAAGTTTTTAAGAAAAATAAAAGGATTTTTAGATTAAAAAATACACTTATCTTGAATCTCACCTTCTATGTTTTTCGATACTTATTGAATTACATAAGAGAATGAGCCTACATTTTAGCAAAAAAGACTCAGGTAAAGCATATAGAAGTGTGGTTGGACTCTGTGTCTCTGGACTCGCTAGACAATGACTATTTTACAAGGAGAAACGTGGAGTTCAAGCAAACAGTAAGCATTCTATGAATACTTGCTGAATGAATGAGGAAAGTGAGCCTAGACACAGCTCAGAAGGAACACCTCATTTGGGCCTCAGAGAACCATCGTCATTCTGAATGGAAACCAGCAGAGTTAAAGGAAAGTGGGTCTCCTCTGAACCTTGGTTTACTAGGGTGTTCCAGGTGCCCCTGTGAAGCACCATTAGTCTATTTACCATATCTCCTTTCTTCCTTCTCTGAGAACAGCTGGCTTGTCTATGATGTTTTTACCCCAAAGAGTGAGGGAGAAGGGGACTGTGCTGTTGGTTTACCTCATTTCTCTTTGGCAAAATCACCGTATGAGTGAGGCCTCCCCACCCCTGCCCACATTATCTGCAGTGGAGAGAACATAAAAGCTTATTCTGCCAGGTAGTCCTTGGGGATGGGGCATCAGTGTGGGGAACATGTGATATGGTGTTTAAGGGATCACACCAGCATGAAATACTGCAAGACAAAGTACATGTTGGACATGCTACGTACGAGGTGGCTGGAGGGAATGGATAGAGCATGTGCCACCAGGCAGGAGTATGCTGAGGCAATATGCCTTACGGTTGTTGAATGAAAAGTGTGGTGTTTTTCCCTGATCACAAGGTGCTACACAGAAAGGTCAGAGTATATGCAGAAGAAAGAAATGCCATTTTATAGATGGGATATGGTCTTGTAAAGAGGACATAGTTCTGGTCAGGTTATATAACTGATGGTCTTTGTCAGTTCCTACGTGTTTAATATATAGGTAAATGTGGTTTCTAACAGAGATGGACAACAAATATTCTATTAAGCTACCCAGAGCTATAGCAAATTTTGAGCTGAAAGAAAAAGTATAATCATTCAAATGCAGAACTATAATGGGTGTTTTTTGAGGACTGTGCACTGATAAATGCAGAGATTCCTACACAAACATATTGCTAGCATAATAAATACATCAAAACATTCATGACCACGTTATGTGCCACCTGCCTTACAGTCAAAATGATGGGCTGGGTGATCTTGCAAAACATCTTCTAGTCTTAACATTTTCATTCAATATTAAAAAGCTTCCCAAAGGTGTATGCGTTTTATAGAGAACACAAATGAGGCCTAAAGTACTCTCTCTAGGATTCTGTGGCCAGATCCATGATAGTAAAGTTAAACAGAAACTTAAATAATTTATTTATTAGGTCCAAGGAAATAAACCAAAGTACTTTGGGCTCAATTATCAATCGGACATTTCTTCTGAACTCATTATTAAGCTTCATTTCTCTAACATTTGGTGTTATATACTCAGCATAACTATATAGACAAATATTGTTTTCATTTGTGAAATACCAGAGGACTCTTTGTATATACTGATATGTACAAAAATTAATAGATGATCCTGAGTTAGTATTTCTTAACTAAAGAGTTGAATTCAGGAACTCTGCTCATAATCACCAAGGAATAATTACAAACTTCTTGGTAGACTAACTGCAAACAGTGAAGTGTTGGTATCCTCCTGATTTTACTTAGTTATTTTAAGATTCACAGTCTTTCCAGTGGATAATGCATAGGTTTTCTGAATCTTGATCAAGGGGAAAATGTGAAAAATCACACATAACATTTTGCTTAGCTGAAAGAGTTAATGAATCCAAACCCTTTAAGAACACGATGCTTCTAGAATCACTGAGAAAGCTAAACAGTACATCTGTTTATTTGTTTTTTTTTTTTAAAAAAAACTCTATATCTAATGTGACTAGCATCAATGATTCATAAAATTATTTCAGTTCAAATTTTAGCTCAGGGGCAAGAATAATATGAACAGACCTACTATATAAAATACCTGACATAGCTATTCACCTTTCAACTATAAAAAACAAGAACTGTCTTCCTCTAGCAGAGTTAAGTCAGTGCACTAGTAATATACATAGAAGTACACCCCAAAGGGAAAAGTCAGCAGAGGTGACTGGCAACTTGTGGTCCACAGTCATCTTTATTTCCTAAAGTGCATATGTCTTCCCTTGACCTGAGAATTCCCTGGTTGTTTATTCAATAACATGAATACAACCTTTCAATCCTATATTTTATTAAAGCCACCTATGGAATTATAAGCTTTGATGATGCTATTGGGTAAATTGTCTTTCTACAAGAGGTTTAATTAATTGATGTATCACATGTTTCAATTTTCTTTATATTTCCTTTCCTTTAGTAATCATATTTTAAATGTCTTTTTAAAAACATTCTTTTTCAGAATGCTTTTTTTAGCCTTCTAAACAAGTGGCTTGTAAAATTGTAGTTATATACACAAAAATAAGAACACAAACTACATGAATGACTGAAGCAAAATTAACCCAGAGATGTGGCCACAAGGAAGCAAGCAAATATGTGTTTAATACTGAGAAGATGTCAGTAACTGAAAAAGTTTTGACAATGCAACTGAATATATTAGAAGTACATGAAAACCTAGAGTAAAAAAGCTGCCAAAACAAAATTCCATTGATAGCCACTTGAAACCATCTCAAGTTTAAACAAGTGTTGTTTTCATACTGTGTCCTTGAATATGAATTGTATTCTAGAGAGGATTCATGAATATATCCAATATGTGCATAAATTTCATATTACTTTCTAATCGACAAATGTACAATTTGTTATCATCTACCCATACTAGTTGTCATGATAACAATGTATCTGAATATATCAATATTTTAAAATGCATAAAATAATGTAAAAAAATTGGAAAAGTCAATATGTATATATTGAAATAATAATGTATTTATAAAAAATTAACTTTGTGTTTCAGGATAAGACTACTTCCTAAATTCATTGTTTATTTGAAACAAATTATGTTCTTTTCTGATACATATGGAACTTTGGGTTAGGATTTTTCATTTCTGACTTGAGCATACCTTTCACATCTTCATCCTCAATTGTTGTATTTGAACTCTCAGTTGACTCCTGTTGAGAAGAAAACACATTTTTAAGTTGCATGTAATGAATGGCTGGATTTCATCTTATGAATTTGACTAGTGATATGTATATCATGCAAAATTCTTCAGCAGGCTCTGTGCATATGCTGACATGCAGATGGACAAATACATTTAAGTGGTTTTAACAGAAATAAAATGTCAAATGTTATAAACATTTCAAAAAGGGAGTACTCTGGTTGCCTAAATCTGTAGCAGTATAAGTTCTGGGTGATTTGTAGAAGCAGCAGAATATATAATTTATTTTAAAAACTGGGTAAAGATGTGTTTGTGTCACAGTGTTGCATAAAGTATGTTTTTTTTGTGTGTGTGTGTTTAAGAGAATAAAGAAAGTAAAGGTATTAAGCCGATAATAGGCTGAAAACAATTTGAAGAAGACTTTTCATGTTGGGCCAGCACAACGGAATTATACAAAATAATTTACTTTTAGATTTTTTTCCTATCTTGCCTAAATTAGAAACTGATTGTCATTGATAAGAAACCCACTTCCACAATGAAAGGACAAAGTTCTTTATTTGTGAAATTACAAATTAAGTTGAAGACAAGTTAGCACACTTAAAAGTACACTGTAATTGCCATATATTGAGGTATGTTTCTTAAAATGGTTTGATGAATATTTTCAGTGAAAGTGTACTAATAAAAATATTTTCTAGGAAAAAAATTTTGAAGTATGCATCAGAAAAATACAATTTTCTATTTGGAATAAGTCAAGGCTACTGAAAAAAATTGTAAGCAAACTTTCAATCAACAGTTATATGCTCAGTGACATAAAACAGATTTTGAAAAGTGATGAAATACCAGTGTTTTTTTAATAGATTCAATATTTTAAAAAGTGATCAATTTATATAAATATAATACACAATATTTGAATCAAAGGGATAAGCTATGTAAAAATGTACCCAGAGTCTCCACACACACCAAACCAAAAAAAAAGGTCTTCATGCGTTTCTTAAGGTGACACAGCGTTTAGATTTAAACATGGAAGATAAACCCATGCATTGTAACAGTAGACTAATTTATGTAAGCAAGGAATACCATGCAACAACTCTTACAAGTGATATAGCTAGAACTATGAAAGTGTCCACTCCAGCTGTCATGCTTGGTCTTTCATTTGCTAATGCTATTGAAAAAATCATTCTCAAACGTGATGGTCCTCACTACCTTAAGTCTTTAACTGTAAAATGCATCTTATATTTAAAAACATAACACTTAATGTTTTTTACTTTAATGATTCAGTATTGACCAGTGGATTGTTAAACCAGAGAGGAAATATATTTTCTAAGCCCACCCATTGTTGATGAGGGTAAGGAGAAGTAAGACCCATGATTATGTTATTATTTGATAAAAGTCTAATGATGGTATTTTTCTTCCCCTTAGAGATAAAATAATGTCTAAAAAGCAATAAACGGGAAACATAAAATACATTCAGAAAATGTCTCCCTTCACCCTTAGATATGTATGCAAGTGCTGTTATTTAATTAACATGCTATACAAATAATTTACAATAGGTAGAGCATATTAGTCTTCATTCAGCATAAATAATTAACTATCTATTACTGAAATGCATATAACTCAATGATAAACATATTTCACAAGAAACGAAACTCCCAATTCTCCTCAAATTCATGCCAAACAACAACAACATCGTCAACAACAGGGAATTGAAAACAAAAACAAAAACAAAATACTATGACAACAGAAGAGAATAAAACTCAGAAACAACACTAAATTTAAACAAATACCTATCAACTCAAGTTGATATTTTTGAAGACAATGGAATGAAAGCAAGAAATTCTAAAATTTCATGCAGTATACATCTACAGTACAATGCACACACAGGCATGGAAAAACAAAAAAGACCACGTAGAATTGCTTAAGATACACAGTCATCATGACAGAATGACATTATAAATGTATAACCTGACTTTATTTTCTTACAAAGATATCATTCATTTCTCTTTCAAGCTGTCATTCATTTTTTTTTATTTGAAAGAAGTCTGGTGTACAGTTTTAGCATCATTAGGCCAAAAACAAAGTGCAGTAAACAAAGAACAAAGCTTTTCTTTTTCTTTTTTTAGATCGTAAATTAATTTTGTATTGAGAATTTGATGAGATGTGTAATCTTGTGAAAGCAAGATGTGGTTGATTCTTTCTGAATACCTTGTTTCCATCAGGGTTGTGGATTACAGTAGTTTGGGGCTCCTGAGTGAGAACAAAATAGAGAAAGAAACAGTTCGCATTGGTAAGTACATTCTTACTAGTCTGAGGGACAGAGCAGAAAGGGCCAACTGACAAAACTAAATAGTGACAAGAGCTAAAGCAATGTTAACTGCTGTCAGATGTTGCAGCCGACAAGATCTCTGATGAAAGATCTCCCTGGTGAGCCATGAGATAGGACTCTGCCCTACCCAGAAGCAGCATGCAAAGACCTTATTCCTGATCAGTAATACACACAGGGCTTTGAAATTTGGAGACCTGAAGAGGCACTCACTGTTTCACCAAGTCCTATGCCAGAGAGAACCTTTGTTTCTTTAATGCGCCCATTACTGTTGTCGCATAGAAAATGGGCCAAAGCGACTAAAGGTAGATCTCTTTCAGAAGATTTCATATTCTTTGTGAAGTTATTTTTTCAGCTGTATTGCTTGGGGAATTAATTATGTTATCTTCATTATAATTAGCACATAGCTGAATACCCTTGGGGAAAAAATCTAGAAACATCGGACCACATTTTAAAAATAAAAAAGACCATCTTAAAGCATACATTTCAAAAGTCCATGAGAGATTCTAACAATCATTTAAAAGGATCTTTTAATGGTTCTAGAACTAATCATATAATAACTGTAGTTGGAAACATGTCGTTGTTAAACCCTGTATACATTCATATCTAAAAGAAAATTTCTGCTTTATGGACTTTTTACACAAAATAATTGGCTGTAAAGTCATGTTTTCTTCCATGAAGAAAATACTGTTTTTTCCTATTACTATAAATATAAAAAACCTCAAGTGGAAATTAATATGCAAACAGTTGATGCAAGAAAAGATTCGGGGTTTGTGCACCAGTGGCCTGCTTGGCACTTTCATTATTTGATGCCTTGGCAAGTGGGACTTACCCCAACCCACTACAGGCACTTTCCCGTGATAGTTAATCCTGCACACTTAGAGAACATATCTACTGCTCCCTTCATGCTTTCCCTGGCTGCAGCTGTGATGGACAGTGTTTTTCACTAGTAGATAACCTGCTATCTTTTTTTTTTTTTTTTTTGTGTGTGTGTGTGTGTCTGTTGGGGGTCACTGAGGATCAAAACCAGGGCTTCCTGCATGCTAAGCACATGATCAGCCACTGAGCTACCTCTGGCCCTAATAATCTTCTACTTTGATGTTTTCTTTCTTTACATTTAAAATTGAGTTTACTGGTTGACCCAAGTGAATAACCTCCTATTGTTTTTATTATTATTATTCATTTACAATAACAGTATGGGGACAGTAAAAAAAATAAATCTGAAACATTTCTGAAAATCATAAATCAAAATATGAGAACAGTTTGAGGTAAATATTATATAGCTTAGAACACAGAATGCCAGTATTTGAATTTTGAATTTTAATACAACATCATCTCAAAGTGTTCAACTGAGTTAATTTAATTGTGTGGATTTCACCAAAATGGAAGAAACTTGTCTGCATTGATAATGCAAGGTTCTATGTTATGCAAACTCATTGTTTGGATAAAAGTGAAACAGTGAAAATTTAATTTAAAACGCAACAAACAAAAAGCTTTAAATTATCCAGTGCCTCTTGATCTCTTAAAATGAGGTCTTACAAAGCCATGTTGTCTTTGAATGAGAGGGAAATAAAACTCTGAATAAGGTCGGCTTTTATGTTGTCTAGCAATAATCCCGTTAGCTCTCCTGGATGCCGACATTTACACGTCATGAAACGAAGAGATGGTCATTTGCATGATGACAGAGCTGTTATCATCATCAGAAGAGCTAAGAGAAACCAAAGCGCATTCTACTGTATTTCTAAGGCAGCATGCAAAAATTTCAACCACAGAGACCAGCACAATGTTCAACAATGAAATGAGATAATTTCATGTTAGAAACATACTGCTTGACAACTCTTTTAACATGAAAAGAAAAGAAAAAGAGATGAACATTTTCCATATCTTAAAAAGCAAAAAAGAAAAAAATCCAACAAAATAAAATATTTATATATACATATGTATCTACATAGTGAAAGCAAATGAGAGAAACAACAAAAAACAGTAAAGAAGTTAAGAAGGGTTACAAAGAGTCCAGGTATACCAGCGCCGGGGTGGGAATATTTTCTTTGGGGCTGGTTACCACGTTGGCTTTGTTGTTTATCTGTGGGTATGCAGAAAATAGAAACAGAGACGCCTTAAACCCCTCGGTAGCCAAAGTCTCTCTACGCGGCATGTCTACGTGGAAGTATAGACATGAAAATAAAGAGCCACTGAAGATGAACGTGAAAGACACTGTGACAACTGACAGGGATGATGATCACTCTAGTCTCCGAAGGTCATGCACAGGTGACGACCTTGTCTGTGATGGTGGGTGAGAAAACAGATGTGGCAGCTTTGGCTGTGCCCCCTTGGCAAACAGACAAAGAGCCGCTTCAGTGGAGCTCAGATCAAGTGGAGAGTATGAAATGAATATGACCGTTTTCATACTCTTCAGGTTGGATTCTGTTTCCAAGCTTCCAATTGTTCACTGTTACAGTCCTTTTTTTTTTTTCTCCCCATTTTATTCTTGAGCCTGAAGTCATACATAAACCATCTTTCTCTGGGGAGCCTTCATTCACTACCATCCAACTAAAAACCTGGATTTTCTGACAAAGGCAGGTGTTAAAACGTTTTTTAAAAATGTTAAGTCTGGGTCTCCTTTAAAAATACATCTTCTGTTATTTAGAGGGGAAGTCAAAGTCTTTATACGGAAGATAAAAGGACCTTATTTTTCACAATTGCTTAAGAGGAAAACACCATATTTTCTTTCAAAGTGTTATTGCTATCCTAAAAGAACACATTTAGTAATACAGTTCGCTTGCATTAATAATTGGGTTTACCCTTAAAGAAGATATCTGTACAACTGTGGGCTCCATGTTGACAAAGAAAATCGGAAAGTAAATAAATATTGTACTGGCCCACAGAGAAGACTCTTTGTGGACTAGAAGCAACTTGAAACTACAAAGTGATTTTGGGCACTAAAGAATCAGACTGAAAAAAAAAACTAACATTGTTTTAAACTCATGCATGATATATTACATTATGTTTATCAAGCAAATATAAACATTACTTTTCTTATACTATATAATCTAGGTATTTCAATATATTATTTTATTAAAAAAGAAAACCCATAATTTTAATACAAATGTAAATGTACTTAAGGACTCAAGAAGGAACACATGTTACATAAAATAAACAAATACCAGATGAGTATTTATAAGTGTTTACATGGGTAATTGCTCAGGATTTCTAGATTATCTATAATTTATGCCCATACATCATATTGAAACTAGCATTGAGAGGAAGATAGAATATAAAAAAATAACTTTTGTATGAGATGTTTTGCTTTTCTGTTTATTTGTATTTGTGTGGTTACTGGTATCAGTAGTATTATTTAGATAATTTGTAATACTGTGCTCTGTGACATGCAGAAAAACAGATAACTTTTAAACTTTACTGGAAAACTCATTAAATGTTAAACTATAAATCTATACTGTTCAGATAGTTTTAGAAAAATTTTTCTTTAAATCAAACTACACAAAATTTAATGCAAAAATTTGGATAAGAGCCAAAAAGAGATAAGAGGTAGTAGTGTCTATTAAAGAGGGATCAAAATGTACTTCTGTTAGTAGAAAACACATGAGATAAGGGAGGGATGCACACACAAATACTTCTTATGAAGGAAGAGCACTTGGCAAAACAGCTGGATTCTTGTCAAATGATAAGGGATATGTATGATTAAAGCACTACATGTATTTAACATTCTGTATTTAGTTTGTATCAGGGGATGCAAATAAAAGAGAAATATTCTGAGATATTTTTATTTCTGTTTTGAGATAAGATTGAGATTCTCTTCCCACCCCAGGATGTAATTGCTTGCTTTGAAATGCTTTATTTTAGTGAAAATGTCCCACATGCATACTTATGCACATGAGTTTATCTGTATAAGTGCAAACATGCCTACCATCCCCCCATACACATTCACCTATAGATACATAGCACACATACACCATCATCTCTCCCAAATGAGGGTTGTTCTGTGTGGATAAACCATCCTGTATCACCAGGCATGGCAAACATGAGGTACATAGATATAAGTCTCAACTACCACTTTCAATCATATTTAAATGTGCAGTTGGAAACATTTTGTTAATGAAAAGATTAGCTTAATGAATTTTTTATTGTAGGAATATGCTGAAAGTGTTAGTAAAATTAGTTAATTTGAAAATAGTAAATTTCTAAGTAAAACACTAGAAGAACCTCCTTTCAAAGAGTCAAATAGCAAGTACGGGTTCAAGCACAACTATCGTTTAAACATACAAGAGAAATGTAGCTGTGTTAAGTTACTGTCTTTTAAAAGATACAAGTGTCTTTTGTTAACTGTCTTTTAAACATAAAAGTGAATGCATCTATGTTTAGGTATGGAAGCAGAATATTTTTCTTTAAAAAAAAAAACTGAACTGAATCAAATATTTAAATGATGCACTGAATTACCCTTATGAAGCATGGGTAATATATTCCTATTTCTCAGACATTGAATTTATTAAATGTTGAGATTAATGCATATTTCTTTTAAAGGTGCTTAGTTACGATGGATACACTGTAAGATCACTTTCACATTATTTATAAACTGAACAGCGAATGTATTATAGAAAGAATAATTCTTATTTTAGCAACCATGATCTTCATTTGAAAGATAACTCCATAGCATTTCTTTAGTTGTCAGTAAACATTCATTAATTATGTCATAGTCCTTTTATTTTCAAAGAGAAAATGACTTTGTCCTTGCATAAGGTCAAATTCATTAACAGCATATGGATGAGGATTTAACTTCTTACCTATTTAAAATATTAACTTCAGAGGAAAAAACAATATAATGTGAAAGTGGGTACCATGTTTTGACAGTTGATTAACACTGACCCGTGATGATTCTATACTTCCTCCACTTACACTAACTTATATTAAATAGGACTGTTTTATTCCTAAGTGTGAATTTTCACAGGAGAAATCTGGCAGATAGAGATCCTCACCATCATCTGAACACTCGAACTCGACTTCCTTTTCTGAATTGACCAGTCAAAGAGAAAGGAAAAGAAAAAAGTATGACCCGTTGAATTTAAAGTGCCAAAGCAGGTAGTACAGAATAATTTAGTTTTCAAAGAGGAGCTATAAGTTGGCTAGAAGAAAAAAAAAGTTCTGAAAATGTTTCTTTCTATATAAAAGGATAATAGTGGAAATAAACATCTTAATAGGAACTGTGAATTCTCCATCACTGAGTGCTACAGAAAAATTCAAAAGAAGACATTTGATTATTTTAAAATACCATATTTCTACCAATGTAACATCAGGGAAAAAGCAGAAATCAACAGTCTTTGCCAAAATCTAGACTGAATAAAATAAGTAAAAGGAAGATACAATTATAAGTTGAGAGAAGCAACTGGTGATCGGAAATGCCATCCTAATGAGAATCACAAGTGCATGACTCAGGAAATTCTCAAAGTGCACACAGACAGGTGGTGAAGAAATGACTGGGTATGAACAGAAGAACTGACAAATGATTTCTACTTTCTATTTTCAATGTGAACTGACCACCTGACTTTGAGTCAAGTTCAAATATGAGAATATTAATTAATTCCCAACAATGTTGAAGCATTGATGAGGAATGTATGAATCTGCCATTGAAAGAGAGAGAGAAGGATTAAAAAAATGAAACATTTAGATCATACTATGGAAAGATAACAAACATTATTATGCAAATATAAAATTACATTCCATCAAAAGAAAACTCCCTAAAACAAAATACAATCAGTAGAAAATAAGTTGCATCATTTTGATTAGAAATCCGAGAAGTCAAAATATCCTGTTGTTATCTTCCTTGAAAGATTTTTCTAATATTTGTTCAGTATATGAATCTTGAATATGTCTCTAAACCTTATGATAAAAACACAGAAACAATTAAGACCTTAGAAAAACCACTCGAGTAGAGAAATGTGGTCATTTGACGTTGCATTTTCCAGACCTACTGTTTATTTTAGGTTATACACTTCAACAATCTTTAGCATACATCATAATTATTTGTAAAAGTATTTAATTTTCACAGATTTTCAGGTCACCATGGTATTTGGGACTGTAGTAAATCAGAGAGGATTTAGACATTCAGTTTCTATGGTAACTCTATAGATGAATACTACTTTTTTGGTGATTATTTAATATATAAACAAATAAAAAATACACATCATAGTATATGTATTAGTTGTCTTTGTTTATTAATTTTTTTAATATTTCATTTTGCATCTTATTATCAAGAACAATAAAAAACAAAAATTGCAATGACTTGGAGCTTATATTTAAAATTATCCAGCACCTGAAAGTCAAAAATGGTTGAAGATAACCCATTTAACTTACCTTTACTCCATCTGGTTTCTTCAACAAACTCTTGGCTGCTGCAAAGTGAGAGCAAAATCAGTTTAGTGAATTGTCCATCAAAACCCTCAGCTAGGTAACAAGACAGGCAGGTTATTGTTTCCTTCTACCACCTTTGCTGAGTTATGGCCAACATATGCCAAGTTATCAAGGTCACACTGATGAGCGCGAGCTTACAGGACATTGAAATACAGTATCACTTTTCTGGTTTTGCCACAACAAATTTAGAACTAAGTTCTTATGTAGTTCATTGAAAGAAATTGAAACTTTGCCAGTTGTGCTATTGGACAGTAGTTGGTTGCGAAAAGGATACTGGAACTTTAACTGGACTATCCTTTTGTAATCCAGAAAGTTAGTTTCAATCTTGAGACATCAGCTGACAGATTGTATTATATGTTCATTCACACCACAAGTATGGTGGCCATGTCAGTTCTGCCATTGAAGCTCCTCTTTCTAGAGGTTGAAAACTCATTTGTAAAAATTTGCTCTGGCGAAATAACATCTTTATATTTTTTGAAATCAGAGAATTTTAGCTTTTGTAAAAAATATTAATGACTGCATTTATAACAAAATGGCATATTATTGACCTAGAGCAAATTTTTTAAAAGCTTAGCACATGATCTTTAAAAAATGGCATTATATATTCTTTTATACTTCAGAATTAAAATATAAAGACTTACTAAACAAAAGCCTTTAGTAAAATTAAAAATTTAAAACCATACAATTTGAGATAAGGTATAAAAGAAAATAAAATCTTTAACTAAATCAGAAAAATCCTAAAGCATAATGTCTTCTATAAAATTCATTTCTCATTTTTCCTGGGGGGAAGCCTTTGTCATTCTTTTTGTTATAGGACTTCTTGAGTATATTAAAAGGTAGAAGAGTCATCCTTTCAAAAATATATTTATGAATGGGTACACACAGAGTAAACAGATAACATAACTGTCAATGACAATTAGTACATCAAATGTAGAACATTCATGAATATGTAGAACAAAGTGTGTACTTCGATTTTATGTTAATGATATGTAATAAATATTTAAGTACATCAAAATAGAATTTGGCAACTGAATTGAAAGTACTTAGTTAAATAAACTTCATTTCCTGATATTTCTTGTATTTGGGACGTTATATTGATGATGACTTTGTTATAATTTTAAATATATTTAAAAGATAGAAAAGTATTAATTTTATTTAGTCTTTAGCAACAAGGCTGTTAATTTATTATCACTTGAGGTTGTAAAGAAATTGTTGCCTTAGCAATAATACTGTTTGCTTGGAGCTAAAAAGCAATAATATTAAGTAAATCCTGTGGCAGTTAATAGGTTAGAAAGCAAACTCAGAATAACTGGAATTGCAATAGCAAGCAAAAAGAAGACAATGATCCAGGGTAAGCAGCGATTTGGCCTAGGAGATGCAGAGAAGTTCCTTTTGGTTACTAATCACCTTACCTCACAAGAAATACATTCCACATACAGGGAGAAAAGAAAAAATAAAAACAACTTTATAACCATATACTCATGGACAGATTATTTAAAGAGCATGTTTGGCAATGAAATAGAATGAATAACATACTCCAAACTAAAATGCAATATCAAGTATAAGATGTAACTGAGTCTAATGTTATTCTGTTGATTTTGAAGTGATGGATAAAAAAGATTTACTTTTCATGCTAAGACATTCAGAAATGATATAAAATCCATATATTAGTCATGAATTTTTAGCTTACAGGATGATGGAAAGGAAAATATGAGTTAAACAAAAAGTTTATATAAATGGGTACAAACATTCTTAAATAAAGGCCCAATTGATGACTGAGTGTGTTTAACATTTTCACGAAATACATAATTTAATTCTGGAGATATTTTTAAAGTTAGTTTGCTATTAACAATATATATATGATATAAGCCATCCTACCTTTCAATGATTCATGAATTATTGGGCCACAGTAAATATTAATTTATTTTAATATAGTATATATTACCTAATAATGAGATGGCATTGAACTCACTCATATAAATGTCAACCACATTATTCAATTGTTTACAAAACAAGTAACTTGACAAAAATAGCAACAAGATTTTATTACACCAAACAACATACATACAAATGACCAACAGAGTCCCTCAGTTCATAGCACTGCTGACTGTACTATTATTACTGCTGTTGGTTAACAGCCTATGTATTATATTACCTCTAACCAGATGGCAAACATGCAGAAGTCACCATTTAACTAATATAGCTGTGGAAATCATTGAAGAATAGTTGATAATAATACAATGGGTTCACCTGATGTCACTATCACATCCAGGCTCAGCAAAATAAAGAACTGAAATAGCTGGATAGATTGATGCTGTATATCATTATTATAAAAACTAAGGTGGTAATATTTTGGCAGTAAGTTTTGATAATTATTCTAAGTCTAAATGTCAAAATTGTAAGCTTATCCATTGTAGCTTCATTGCTGCTTCTATATCTCCCCATATATAAGACTGATTATTCAAAATATAAATTTTAGAAACCTGGAGCTTTTGGACAATCTATTCGAGAAGGAAACTCTGAAATTTCTGAAAATAATTTATTCTTTTCTCTCCCTTTTGGAGTCATTTAATAACAATTCATCTCTTTGGCTTCTTTTAGACTCTGCTCAACACACTTATTTTTACCATTCAGAGGAGAATTTGTTATCCTACGATATGTCGGTGTGGCTGGTTCTCTTTAAGTTCTGGAGTTAGATACCTTGGGCAGTTGTAATTAGTTTTATTGCATTCCAATATACTACTGTACTTTGGAAAGAACTTAGGCCTAAGAGAAATTAGTTTCAAAATAATGGTCTTCTTTTAGAAATATTGCTTAATGGAATTTCCTATAAGAATGAGACAAAAAACTTATTCATAGTTATTATTTTATGAAATAACAATTAATACATTCTAGGGTTGATATGGAAAACTACAAAATGAGGAAGTACATATCTCCAATATTTGTGTGAACTCCACTATTTGAGAGAAGGGTGTCTAGTCCATAGCAGCACTGACTATTGCCTAGAATTCTCTGGGTTCTCCTGTGAGGGCTTGCAGTCCCAAGAGTTTCTGCAGCAGACAATACCTTGGAGGAGTACCAATGGCAGTCACAGGTGTGGAAGGAATCTATGCCACACATTTGCCATACCCAAACAATAGAATTTTTCTAATAATTAGATTTTGAATTTTTTTTTTTAAAAAAGGACCACTACAGAGGACAGCAGACAATAGGGAGAACAGTTTTGAACGCATGTACCTGAAAAATTTCTCGTAGCCAACATAGTTGTCAAAATGGCACCCTGTCAGAGAAATAAGAAAAAAAAAAAATCAAGTTGTAAATCTTTAACCTAATAAATAGTCTAGGGCAACAAATCTTCTCCTGTTCTCATTTTCAGTTAGGAAAATTTTTTGTTGTTTTTTTTTTGTTTGTTTGTTTGTTTCCAGAAGAGTCCTAGACCTGTGCCTTTTGTGATGCTGGGATCACCGTAATGTGTGGGCCAGATGGATTATGAATCACACTGCTGTTTTCCCCTGAAGGTAGAAACTACTATATGTGGCACCACACTGATCCTAGCTTTTCTTTTTGCCTGATTATGGTGCATATTCCATTTTCCCACAACCTAGAAACATAACAATATGAGTATTGAGATCTACATGTAAAAGTTTTTGCTAAAAGTTATTTCCCCCCTACAATAGTTCATTTTCCAGTCTCGCAAAAACATGAAATTTCATACCTTTAGTTTTCGTCTAGCATTGAATTTCTTCAAGCAGTCCACAGTCTCCTGTCTGTGCATCATGGAAGCCACAGTGGAACGTTGCTGAAAGAGGAGAAAAATAACTTCATTGAGGATATTTAAAACATACTAAGCATAATAGTATCTTCAACTTCATTAAATCTTTATTAATAGTGCACTCATGATTAATTTCAATTGCCAAAGTTAACTAAAAAAAAGAGAATAATTTTTTTCATGACGATTAGCAACTAAGCTAAAACATTTATGTATAGAAAGTTTATATGTTTATAAATGAATATCACTGGTTTCCCACATTATCTTAAATTCAGTAAATCTTCAGTCACATTTCTATTGGACTGCTTTTCCTTTACTTGGTACCATATTTATTGCCCTAATGTTTGATACTCATTGTAGAAATTTACTTAAGCTTTTAGAGTACCCCAAGTTTTCCACTGTTTTTTCTTAGTACTTCTGTGTTATTTTTTTTCTTTGTATTTCTAAAGTGCATTCAAACCATTATGGCCATGTTTTAATGTTACTAAAACCCACTCTTAGTTTTCAAATCTCAGATTTGTTTCTAAAGCTGCTAATGATAAATAATTGAACTCTATTTTCTTTTTCTGGGATGCATTAACTCTTGATTATCTTCTCAACCTGTATTCATCAGTCTTGTTGATAACTATTATGGCAAATGGTCTGTTCCTTGTGTTACTATAGACAATATTTACTTAGACAATCTGTGCAAAGCAGATTTGTTACAATTATAAAATTTATTTTAAGTCCGTTCATTCTTTCATTTTTTTCTGCAAAATTATTTTAAAATTCATGAAAAATATATTAAAGGAGAGTTTCATTTTTTCATTCTCCTAAGGTTTTTGGAGAATTGTTACTTACACAGATCCATGGATGTTTCAGTGCTTCTGAGGCTGTGATGCGTTTGGCAGGGTTGATGGTAAGCATTTTATTGATGAGGTCTTTGGCTTCAGGAGTCACTGTGTCCCATTCTGGTGATGGAAACTTCAAAGACATAAATTTATCAAGAGTTTTAAAAAAACAGATGCATTCAGTCAAATGAGGAAGAGATAAATATATTAACAATTTCATAAGTAGTAAATTTCTTTATAAATTTACTTTTTTGTATAAGTTAAATTATATCCAAAATAGATGAACTGATCTAGATATACTCCATATATAAACCTATATATGCTGAATAGATAAGGGACATACACATATACTAAATTGCATATTACACATAGTGAATACATTGTAAAATTTAGTAAAACAACCTAAGAATTTTCTATTCGTCTCAAAATATCTTTGTTTTATTTGAAAATTAAATTGTATGCAATCTTTCTCATAATTATTTGCAAAAGTAAGTAAAAAATGTGAAGTTGTCACATGTGCTAATGTCATCATGCTATCCTACATTCCACAGCTCAATATGAGATATTATATACTTTCACGTCTCACAAACAGTAAGAGCAAAGATAATAAAACAGCTTCAATTCCTGGGCCAACACTGACCCAAAAATCATGGCTGCTTGAAGTGCTATGGTGAAAAAAAATCTGAGACTACGAAAGCATCATCAGGATTTCAGGTAAACATCTCAAGAAGTTTAATCTAACTATACATTTCACCCAAGTGCATGACAGTACCCAACTCTCAATAACTTCCATTAGTATTCCATCATTATGTTAATAACTATATAATAAAGCTAAGGATCCAAATTTTCTTTACACTAAATTTTTATTGGCAATCATTTAATTTTATTTTCATATAATTAGCTTAATTAACAGATACAATATCCTTTATGGGTTAAGAAAAATTTTCAGCACATCTGTCGCTAAATTTTTATAGTTCATGAATTTTCTCTCTCTTTTTTTCTTTTTTCTTTTTTGGTACTGTGGATTGAATCCAGAGGCACTCATGAGCTACATCCAAAGCCCTTTAATTTTTTATTTATTTTTAAATTTTATTTAATTTTTAAATTTTGAGACAAGTTCTTCCTAAGTTTCTGAGGATCTTGCTAAGTTGCTGAAACCAGCCTTGAACTTGTGATCCTTCTGCCTCAGCCTCCCAGGTCATTGGTATTACAGGCATGTTAGATTTTATAGATAATTTCTATTTATAGACATTTAGCTTTTATAGACAATTGTGAAAAAAACCATCATCACTGTGTCTTGGAATTTACACTTTCAGTAGTTATAGAATTAGCAGTTTGTGATCCAATAGCCAAATGAAAGATGAGAGAAATGTGATTGCTTTGTTATTACCTACAATTTTTGCCAGTTTAACAATGTAATTTTTAAATTCCATAAGCTTATCTTGAGCAGTTATATAAACTTGCTCTTAGGAACTGTTGGGAAAACACTCCTAGCTGTGTCTCAATGTTGGCAGGTTTCCTGACCGCAAATGAGGGGTCAGTTCTGCCTAAAGAAAGGTGGGTCCTTTCCTCATGTTTCTAGTTTCCACAAAGGCACTCCTCTGTGTTCACCAAGCAGTGCATCTGAGGGGACTAGTTCTAGTCTGTAAAGACAGTGATTGTGCTAGCTGTAGCATGCAATGATGATTTGGTCCAATTATTAGTCTGTCTAGAAAGGAAGGCTTCAAAATAAAAAGAATAGACATTTTAAATTTTTGATAGCTGATACACTGATAACCATGTAAATAGAACATTTTCCCAGAAATACATTGAACAGGTTGAGACTGGACAAAATATAATAAAAATTTTCATATCACTTCCACACTGAACTTTTAACTTGTGCATATAACATGGACCCAATACTGCTTGGTATTGGGATGTGTTGGTTAATAATGGAACAAATATGTGACAGTGGTATCATAAGTTATAATGGAGCTAAAATTTTCCATTGTCTAACAATGTTATAGCTATCACAATGTCATGGCACAATGCTTTACTCATGGGTTTGTGGTGACACAAGTGTAATTATATCTACTGTGCTGCCAGTCACACAAGTATAATACATACAATTGTGTACAGTCCATAATACTTGATAATAAACAACTACATTACTGGATATGCTTATGTATTTACCTTACCATGTATTTATTGTTGTTTATAGAGTATACTTCTTTCGTTTCTGAAAAAACAATTGACTATAAAATAGCACACCATGTTACTCCAGCATCACATGTGTAATGGCATCACAGATCACATATTTACTCCATCTGTTGCATCAAGAGGCCACACCAAGTGACTGATCTACACTATCTAGGTTTGTGCAAATATACCCTGATGTTTGTACAATGATGAAATCATATAACAATGCATTTCTCAGACACTGTCTCCATCATTAAGTAACACATGACTACATTTTTCAAGAGAGGAAATTATATCAGGGAATTCAAAGCTAAGTTATCAACAGAAAGTAGATAAACAAATCCTTCCTCTTTAGATACTAAACCTAATTCATGAATATGTGTGTATATACTTTCAATCATTTTAATTATAAATTAAATGTATTAGAATCATGATACTGTGATTATCCAGTATTTTTTTTTCAATTATGAAACCCATTGTTCAAATAAAAGCTTACATATAAACTCATTAAGGTAAACCAGACCAAAAAATGATATAGTAAAATGATATTCTATTTGGTACATGAATCATTGCAAAGTATTACTGATACACAATTTAAAACCATGTGATAGGCATTTGGGGTTAAAATCCAACTAAAAAGGTAGTAATCAGTTCTGTAGCAGGCATTTTCTTTTTTAATTCTTATGCACTAAAATCTGAACATTTTGACAAGTCTTTCTTCAGAGACTTCAAACTTCTTTACATTTTAGGAGATAGTGAATTAAAAGGAAATACCAAATATGTACATTTGCTACAGTTCTTTCTCTTTATCTTCCCTTTCCTAAGGGAAAAGACAATGAGGGAAACCGCTGAGAATTATGGTTAAATGAACAATGAGAAAATATGACTCTGAGTCAATAAACCAAAACAAACACTCCTCTAAGGCGGCATGAATACTTATTACATACATCATAAGCTCCAGCCTTGATCTGCTGGTAGAGTCTGTGTTGGTCTTCATCCCAGAAAGGTGGATACCCCACCAGTAGGATATAGAGAATGACACCTAGGGAAATGAACATATTGACATAATATAAGTCATACAGACAATAATACATCAAATACATCAATACATCAATGATATTAAGCTGCACCCATCAGAACAGAGAGAACTGCACTGTTGGAAAACTTCTGAGACACATTCTGATCTATTCTGAAGCACCACATGGGGGCTAAGTGCACTACCCCCCTATACTGGAGAACTCTCACCTTGTCTAAAGATAAAAAAAAAAAAAAATGTCTTGTCATTTTGGGTGACACATTCTTTGGCTTCCTCAAATTCTTATCTATGTAGATTCTGAGTAGGCTGAAAACAATGTGTTTTTATTTTCTCATACTTATTTTGCTAGTATTTAGGACATTTGAGTGATGGCGTCCTGATAATAAACTCAGGCTCTAAATGCCAGTGTCCCTAGG